CAGATTAAACTTATTAGGGGGCGGGTTTAAACTGCAGATGCCACTTCCTAATATGATCCTGTATACCAAATAAGAGTCTTGTAGCTTGTTGTGGAGCTTAGTTATGGCAATTTATTTGTTTTTAATTAATGGCGTTTTGTGGGCGTGGCAGTGATCCAATTACGCCCATCAGCAATACCAACAGTCTTACCGTGCCAAGAAACATGTCTACCAAGTTTCATAAAGATATCTCAATTTTTACTCAAGTTACACCTTGCACAGACGGACGGACAGAACCAATTTTTTAATCCCGAGACCTCCTCTATCCGTCCACATTATCAGATCGCGGCACTAAAGAAATCGTAATTGTGCCATGATGGCCTTTGAAGTCTTTTTCTAACGGCATTTAGCTTTCAATATACTTATTGCAATAAAACTCACCTATGCAAACGTTCCATCTGCTCAGATTCGTTCTCCAATTCAATAATGTCAAATAATTCTTTTTCGCCCGTTCGCCCAAATATACCGTTGGGAATTTTTCGCAAAAATTTCTTTAGCACACTTGCAATCGTATAAACTGAATAATTGTCGACATTCACTAAACGACCCGACTGCAGAAAATGTATTAGCTTTTTCATAGCACCCTGGTGACCAGGGGCACGAAAAACGTCTCTTCTATTTGGTGATTCTTTATTTAATTTAAGTATTAGAACCAAAAGAGGTCCTGGAATGTTTTCATTGTTTTTACAGACTTCTTCAAGTGGTACACCAAACTTAACTTTCTCCAATCTATAGGTATAGTCTGGCGTCGAAGCGCCGGGATGCCCACAAGAAGTGACAACACTGCTAATATCTGCTGCACGTCGCGCCCAGCTGGACATTTTTATTATTTATACCAGTAAATAATTTGCAATGATTTTCGCAGAACTTCTGCAATTCGACCCCAATTCGATCTTTTTTACTTAATTACACGAAAATGTGGGCACTGTAACTTTAATTTTCTGGGGTTATATTATGGTTTGTGGCAGCTGTTATGTCGCCCTGCCCGCCACAATACACTTCCCACTTTTCTTATTTCCCTTTCTTTCACTTCTAAGCAGCCACACGTTCCACGTACCACACGTTTTTTGACATAGTTGTTTTTACAATAATCCCAGATTTCCCTTTTTCATTCGCTTTCACTTTATTATACTTGGTTGTTGCCTTTTTCTTTGCACAACTTTTATTTTACAGGGTAGGCTTAACGCCTCTACCACTCTTATATGTATATATATATTATGAAGATTATATGACTAATTAAAAGAAGTGAAGAGTGCAACAGTAATCAAAAATTTTTTTGTGATATGATTTTGATGAAAAGAAAAGAATCGCACGACCATTTCACCAAATGGAAAAACTATAGCACAAAATTTGATTCTCGTTTTTCAAGCATTCCATGTTGCCACTCCTGTGTGAATTATTTCACTTCAGCCTTTTCGTTTGCACTAGGTCTAACCACGAACACATGACTCCGCAAAGCCACTTTACCTACTGCGATCATTGCAACTATATGTGCATTTTCTCATTACTTTCATGTTATACACAATTCACACTTCATTTAAATTAATTAAATTTAATCCTCTAAATTTTTACGCTTTATGTTCCTTCCCATCATTTAACGCCGTTGTGTTTGCTTCGTCGCTGTGTACACGAGAAATGATATGAAATGGAAGTTTCAGAGTTGTATTTAGAAGTGTCTTATAGTGTTAACATTGGCATTCATTAGAACTGAGTTGCCTCTATTTACATATTTTATAACTCTCTTGTAATAATACAGAAATATATTTTTGGTAATATTTTGACTAGATGTGAAAGTTATCACTTATTTCAAAAAAATATATATGTATAGATCTCTAACTTTTTCAATTGATAGAAAATTCAAGATACCAGGTGTGTTCAGTGAAAGTATTCGAGCACTTAAACAGGTAATATCACACACTTTTAAAGCTTAACTTACCGCCCTTTTGAAGATGTAATCTGATAACTTACATCATTGAGTTCCTGCAATTTAAAATATGTGTGGACCTTTGGTTTATTTTAAATATATAGACAACTATGATAGATGTTTACCTAAGTCATTCCACCTTTTTGCTTGTACAAGTTAAAATAAACTTCCAAAAGGGTTTTATTAGAAGGTTTCTAAATTATGCCATCCAGATGTTTGACCAAATATGTAGAGATAAATACTCGGATAAAAAACTTCTGGGCGGTCGTGGACGCAGTCAGTTAAATTACGGAAATTAATTAAAAAGTAAATATTAATGGCACCAATATATGTATAATTTCACCTGTGAAGAGTATTGTAGCTTCGTTACAGCCGAAATTAATATTTTTTTATTTTTTATTTGAAAGTCGTGGCGAAAAAATGCTTTGTAAAGGCATAAAGGTTCATATCCGTGCGCTTTAATTCGGTTACACTAAAATATGATTTATTACTAAATAACGTTTTATACAACTTCATAAATTTGTTGTTGGCAACTTTTCTTGTATACGAGTACTTTGTACTTTAAGTGTTAAGGAGGGTAGGGTTTTCATTTTTTTGTCATAAATTACCAACTTTTTGAAAGTCGGTGACCCTTATATCTTCAAAACTGCTACTCTGATCGTTTTGAAATTTCGAACACTATTTCAATACATAACTTACATTGTAACGCTAGAGTTTCAAATTTGTTAATATTTTTCATTTAACAATAACAATATAACCGATTTTTTCGCAAAAAATCGCGTTTTTTCCTCCAGCGTTACCTGAGCAAAGCGATTATCTAACGACGTAATTTAGATTTTTTGATGTCAGATGATCCAACTCCGAGGTCACCAAAGTTTAACATTTTTCCGAGACGCTTCAGAGTAAGGGGATGTTCGGCTAACAAATAACTGCACCAGAGAACGACATTAACTAAGTACTCTTATAACAGTCTCCAAAGCAAAAAATCAACATACACCAAAATATTTAACTAATGATTGAATATATAAGAGAATCACCAAAATATGAATTAAGAAACAACTGTGATTTTAGAATTAAGTATAAAGCACAAAAGTCGAATGTTTTATATACATAGGTTTAAGATTGTATATTTTTGTAAAGAGAAGTAGGTTTATTCAAGGGAAATGAATTCTGTTGGTTTATCTGTACGGAAAGGTGAAGAGATTCACCTTAATCCAAAGGAAATAAAATCCGTTTATTAACCTCAATTTTATTAAATAATCGCCTGAACTGAGTATGCCAATATTAATCTGAAAGATCTCTGATCTTTTCACTCGTACTGAACAATATTCAAAACCCTGCTGATAGCCGATGCTCTTGCAATGACCTGAGAACCATGCGAATTTCGACTGTAATAAAGCCCAATGGGTATCTTGCAAAGGTAATATTGAAAACAAACAATCAAAACCGTCACATATGTCAACGAGCTATGCTAATTGAAAAATTTTCTTTAGTTATTGTTGACAGATTGAGAAGGTGATACATTTACTCGTTAACATACTTTTTTGGGGCAACTGAAGATAACACAAAATATAACATAGTAAACAAGGAAACTACAAATTCAAGCTGGATGGATTAATGATATGAAATTCTCCAAGAGTGAAATTGAATGATTTAAGATATTTTCCCAATAAATATAGATTATTAAATATTCTTTCATTGTCTGCAAAACTTAATCGTTTGTAATTCCAATAGCTTGTAATATGTTCAAATAAGCAAAACTCATCATTTAATTAAAATATCTTAATTATTACACAAAATATTAGTTTTAATTTTCTTGGGACGTCGAAAGGTATAACACGTTGTTGTTGTTATAACGATTATCTAATCCCCGTTTGGGTGATAAATTCTAGATTCGTTGTCGTCGAGGTCATCTAACGGAAGGCCCAGGAAACGAGCTGTTTCGACGGGGTCGGACCATAGGGAAAGGGGTGTTAGATGAGTGGGGTTTGTAGGGCATGCAAAGAGGTGGTTAGTGTCATGCGGAGACTCATTGCATGCAGGACATGTGTTTAGTATGTCGGGGTCTATTCTGGATAGGTAGGAGTTTAACCTGCTACAGTATCCAGAACGAAGTTGCGCGAGGGTCACTCTAGATTCGCGAGGCAACTCGAGCTCTGTGTCTGCAATGGGTGGTGGTTTGACTCGTATTACGCCATTCACTGAAAGGGAGTCGGTGAAGGTGTTAATGGCTCCACTGTGAATGGCGGTCAGTGCTTGTCTGAAGTTAGTTGCGTCCGAAGTCTGGTCGACGTGCTGTCTGATGTCGTCGACGTAGTCAAGGAAGGACCTCTTGATGTTCCTAGGAGGCTGCTCCGCTGCAAGCAGGCGTCTGCAGGGGTGGTTTCTGCGAAAACATCCCAGCAGAAACTGCTTGGAGAGGAGCTCATTATGTTCCTTAACCGGAAGCATACGGGCCTCACTGTGTAGGTGTTCGATTGGGGACATCAAGAGGCACCCCGTGATAGTCCGGAGTGCAGTGTTCTGACAAGTCTGGAGCTTCTTATTCTGCGTGTCACTACATCCAGGCGACCATATTGCGGCTGCATAATTGAGGATTGCCTTGTATGTTGCCAACAACGTTTCTTTGTCCTTTCCCCATGAGCTGCCGGCAAGCGACTTGAGGATTTTGTTGCGGCTCTGTACTTTGGCAGTTATCGCGGTCGTGTGAGGAGTGAAAGAGCACAGACTGTCCAAAGTGACGCCTAAAATTTTAGGGTTATTTACTGTCGGAATTTTTGTGCCATCGACTGAAATGTTCAGGTCCAGTCGATTCCATTGCCCGACGTCAATATCGTACAGTCATCTGCGTACGAGGTCATTGAAATTCCCGCTGGTGGCTGGGGGAGTTTCGAAATGTAGAAATTAAACAGTAGCGGGGAGAGGACACCGCCCTGCGGAACCCCCTGTTTAATTTTCCTGAGTTTGGAGTTTTGACCTCGAAATAGTACGGATGAGTGTCGACCGCTCAGGTAGTTCATGGTCCACCGCTTCAACCCTGGAGGGAGCGTTGATTGTTCCAGGTCCTCAAGTAGCGTTGCGTGATTGACTGTGTCAAAAGCTTTTGACAAGTCCAACGCTACGAGGATCGTCCTCTCGCAGGGTGGCTTCTGGTTCAGGCCATGAACTATCCGGGCGTTTATGACGCTAAGTGCTGTGGTGGTACTGTGCACTTTACGGAAACCATGCTGATGGTCTGCTAGGCTCAGGTGGTGGGTGAAAGACGGGAGTAACAAGGCCTCAAGTGTCTTCACTACTGGGGAAAGGAGAGTTATCGGGCGATAAGACTCCCCTTTGTTGGCGGGTTTCCCAGGTTTCAGTAGTGGGACCACTCTTCCGACTTTCCACACATCGGGTATTTGAAGAGTGGATATCGACAGGTTGAGGACCTTGGTGAGGTAGTTTACTCCCGTTGGGCCTAGATGTTTTAACATCAGCATGTTTATTCCGTCAGGGCCGATGGATTTGGACGATTTCGCCTTTTTGATGACATTCTGAACCTCCTCATCGGTGAAAGTAAGTGGTGCGCAGTCTTTTGGCATTTTGCGCAACCGTCGGGTAACACATCGTTTGGCCTTGTCGGTCGAAGGGTGCAGTATAAACTGCCGGCTAAAGTAGCTCGCGCACTTCTTCGGGTCCGAGGAGGCATGGCCATCGAATTGGATTTCAACCCGATCGTCGTTTCCTCGGATTTGACAGGGCCTTGACAGTAGTCCAAAGCTTACTCACACCGGTGGAGAGGTTGCAGGACTTCAGGTGCTCTATCCATTTTGTCCGCTTATGATGGTTTACCATTTGCCGAATCTCCAAATTGAGATCCCTTATTCGGGGATCACAGGGATCGGCATGGCGTAAGGTGTCGCGCTCATTTGCTAATACAGCTGCTTCGGCTGGGAAATTAGGGCGGAGTTCCGCTATTCTTTCAGCCGGTATGAAGCGAGCTGTAGCAGCAGCGATCACCTTGCGGAATTGACGCTCGCCAACGATGACGTCCGTAGGAATGGATAGTGCGTTGAAGGTGCTCTCAGTAAATTCTGTGAAGCCGACCCAGTTAGCTTTGTTAAAGTTAACATAGGTGCGGTTATCCACAGAAATAAAGTCAGGAGGTTTCTCGATCGAGATAATTATGGGCAGATGGTCTGATGCAAGAGTTAGCATAGGTCGCCAGGTTATACTATTTATCAGACCACCGCTAGCGATGGTAATATCTGGCGAGCTATTACAGGTGCCCATAATTCTGGTGGGGGCTTCGTCATTCATTGTGCAGAATGTCGAATCGTCTATCTGTTCCGCCAGCTCCATCCCCCTACGATCGTTTGACAGGCAGGAATGCCAAAGATCGTGATGCGCGTTAAAGTCGCCTAGCACCAGACGGTTTTCAGGTATAACACGTCAAGGGTCTTGTTGTTGTTGTAGCGGCAAAATTCTGCCGAGTTGACAGTCCTTGGCCGGATAAAATCCGGGTCCGTTCAGGTTATGTAGACCTCGTGGAAACGGAGTGAAGGTTCTTATTTTGCTCTGGTGATTTATAATATATGAAAAATTTGAAACGTGAAATCTTTAGCAATATTTGAAATACATACTTAAGTCCGTGCTTTTTTAAAGAATCATTTTCATTACAAAATTTCACACGAGTAATCTCTATGTGGGGGAAATATGTGATTGCCATCAGATGTTAATAAATAGCGATAGAGTTTAGTTGTGCGTTTTAGCAGGTTTACACAAAGATGCATCTATCACTGAAAATTGAACCCTTCATGAACGCACTTCAAAAGATTGAACACATTCCTCAAAAGTATAGCTATATTCACGGAGCTCAAGATTGGGCATTGATTAATTTTTTTGTTTCACTCTTCTTTAATTGTTTCCTTTTTATTTACGCATCATTATTAGTATTTAGATAATAATTTATAATATCCACTTGTCTTTAACCAGAAGAATGGGAGTAGAGCAAAGACCGAATTAATCGTCTTTTATTAATCCTTCTCAAAATTGTCGAATGTCTTATCTATTTTTCGGTCTTTCCATTTTTGTTACAATTTTTATTATTTTTAGTTATTATTTTTAGTTGTTTTTGTATATAAAGAGTTTGTGTTGTGTGTGTATGTGTTTCGCCTTTGTTTATATTTTGTTGTAATTGTATCAATTAAATATAATCATAGAAATTACAATTAATAAAATAAAAATAGGAAATACTAAAATTATACTTAGAAGTGGATGCCATATTTGTAATCCTTTTTGATATTTCTTCCCTTCTTTCACAACTCATCTTATCATTTCGATATACATTGTTATTGTTGCCATTAACATTCATATACATACATATATAGGAGAATCGTTTTGAAATTGATAGTTTCATTAAATAGCGGTATTAAATTTCTTTTTTTTCTGATACTCTGTACGCTATGATCTTCTTCTTCCGGTATTAGTACTTTCATTCTTTCAACGGCTGCTAAATGGTAATCGTAGCATTTCGCTTGATTTTGTTGAAGTTAGGATAAGAGGAGAAGAAGGATCAGTAGGAAATCGTTTTTAGTTGATTTTCTTGCTTTCTTTTTCGCTTTTTGTTTGTATTTATTCAAATTTTCATTAACTTTATGTTTAAATCAAAAAGGTGTTTTTTATTAATATATATTTATAAGTGTGTATCTAGCGATTAGCATTCTTAAGTTGGTTAGACAACCAATCCAGACCCTCATAGAGACCATCGCCGCTGGTTGCACACGTCGCCTGAATATACCAATTACGATTTCTGAGTGAGTGCAAACCGAGCTTGTCGGTGATTTCGGCTGCATTCATTGCATTGGGCAGATCCTAAAAGAGAAACATATTTGCATAAGTCATAGAAATTACTATTAACACATAATAAGCCTAAAAATGTATACTTATTGTCTATACTACTTATATATACTTATTAACAAAGGAAACTTCCTACCAAATATCAGTTCTTATATATGAGTAGGGTAAAAATTCTGGAATATATTACTTATTGCCCAATTTTCTTTTAATTTGTAATATGCCGACGTAAAACTTCCAAAAACCTACGATACACTTGCTATGTTCTAATCAGTAAAATCTTATCTAAGCATTGAAAGCATTTTGTAGCACTATGACATTCACTATGTAGTTTTCAATATGTATTGAAACCAATTTAACAAGTGGACCGAATATCCCATAAATAAACTCACATAATTTATAGATATTTTGTTAATAATTAATCATTCAAGTATATATTTAGGTAAAAATCATCTTTGACATATATTATATTTGATAATATTATAATATTCAGAATATAATTAGTGTTAACAATAAAAATTACGTACATATGTTACATACATATATACTTAGACATGTATGTATATTAATAATCGACGAAAAGCAAATCTGACTAAAGTAAAATTTGATTAAGTATGTATTTTTAAGATATTTTTCTAATTTTCGCTTTTTAATGTTCAGAGATATAAAATATTATGTAATAAAAATTTGCATATTCAATACATACCTGTTTGTTAGCGAATATTAATAAAACAGCATCTCTTAGCTCGTCTTCAGCCAACATGCGCATCAATTCCTCTCTCGCTTCACCGATACGTTCTCTATCGTTGCTATCAACGACGAATATAAGACCCTGTTTAAAAATAGAATTTTCTAATAAATTACTTTGGTCGTACAATATGTATACATATACATACATACTACTTTTATTTGATAAACCACTTTAAATTTCGGGTTTTATAAAAATAACATATCTTAGGAGAGCAAAACCTGCTCAACTTACTTGTGTATTTTGGAAGTAATGCCTCCACAGTGGACGGATTTTATCTTGACCGCCCACATCCCATACCGTAAAGCTAATATTCTTGTATTCTACAGTCTCGACGTTGAAACCTAAGAGAGAGCAGGATTTTATATAGTAAATGTTTTTTCTCGAACAGCATTTAATAAATATTAGAACTTACCAATGGTAGGTATCGTTGTAACGATTTCGCCTAATTTGAGTTTGTACAAAATTGTGGTTTTACCAGCGGCATCTAATCCGACCATCAATATTCTCATTTCCTTTTTGCCGAAAAGGCCTTTAAAAAGATTTCCAAAAACGTTCCCCATTTTGATACAAGTTTTTCAATTGTTGTTCTTCTTTCCTTTATACTATTGTACTTTGTATTATGTTGCAAATTTTACACTGCAAACTATGAGAATAATGTTACTACTTAATTGGAATTGAACGGTACGTATAAGGTCGATCCGAGCCTGCACTTTAAAGCTGCAGATATCAAATAAGTCGGCTGTAAAGATATGAAGACATAAAAAAATTAAATAATTTGTTATGGCTTATATGCATATAATTTCATGTACAACATGAATAAAACACAAAAGAATCATTAGTTGTATTACTTTGAAGGATTGTCAGTATATGTTACTAAAAAAAATGTTTTTACAAGTATATATTTTGAAGTACTTTCGATGTATCAGATACAGAATACAATATTGTTTGTAATCGTATTTTAGGAATTTTTGCTTAATTAAAAGCTTGGTTGTGTTAATAAGTGGGAATAAACTTGTCGATCCCTTATCACTTTTTATATTGAAACAATATTAATTACAGTATCCCTCGGATAATTGTGCTTTAACAATTGCACATTTTTTGGTTCATTTAACCGGGGAACCAATATGATGAACAAAAACAAGACAATGCATTTATATATTTAGAGATCATTGTTATAAAAACTAAAAAAGGTAAATGTATAGTTTAGGTCCCCATCTACCAACCAAGGAGACCTTTTTTTGAAATCGTCTTACGCGAAGATTACACTTTTTTTTAATTTTTTCAAAAAAAATATATACCAAAAAAAGTTTTTTTTATTTTTATAATAAATATGCATTAAAAATAAAAAATGTGATACATTTAATTATTATTATTTTTTTTCGTTGCTGAAAGGTGTTCGAGCAAAAGAAGTATGGACACTCCGGTGTCGGGTTATTTTTTTAAAGCGCGGCCGAAGGCCGCCAGTACTGAAAGGAGTTCGACGATTTCCGATATTCGTTCATAGATCGCGGCGCAAAAGAAATTGTGACTGTTACATTTCTTTAGTTTTTTTTTTCACAAGAAAATGTTTAGCTCGCTAAACTGGTAATTACAGCTAAGTGATTTAAATTCTGAAGAACTTTGCCTTTACAACCACAAGAACAACAAAGTGAGTTGAAAAATATGTGCAAAGTGGCTTAAATATATTTGTAAATATGTACATTATCTATTGAAAAAATTTACTTTCCGCTCACGGATTTGTAATCTTCGAGTAAAAATAAAACGATTTAAAAAAAATTTCATTTTTAGGGCCTCCTTAGATTGAGAGATCGCAAATCTCGGCAGGACCTCGACTATCGAGGCTGCAACGACTTGCCTGTATCTGCGCGTTGGGCGCGATGCGTACGTGTCCGACTGCAGCACTGGAAGTAATGCTGCAGCTAACACCGTTACATAAGGTGATCGAGCAGACGGGCAAACAGACCTTGCTTCAAATGTCAGCAGAAGGGTTTGGCAAAGGGAAGGTAATCTCGTCCCAGCGGATGAAGGCCCTAAGTGACGCAATGCCACTGGCCCTTCTTCCAAGGGACAGCATTACCAAAACAGTAAGCTTCACTAGGAAGTTCAGGGTTACCCTTGGCAGTAAGGCAGAATGGAACGATTCCACGCTGGACCTACTGCTAAGGCACAGCACTATCAAGTAGTACACCGACGGCTCGAAAACGGCGGAGGGGATTGGCGCAGGGGTCGCAGGACCACGCACCAAGCTCTCCATTCCCATGGAAAATTTTCCTAGCATAGTCCAGGCGGAAGTATATGCTATAAGTCGGTGTGTAGAGATAAACCTCCAACGCGACTATCGCAATAAGAGCATCGCCATACTCAGTGAGGCAGCACTTAAAGCGATCTCGGCTTTTGAGGTCAAATCGCTACTAGTGCAGGAGTGTATAGAACGGCTGAACAGCCTATCAAGTCTCAATAGAGTGCACCTCATCTGGCTGCCTGGTCACAGGGGTATAGCAGGAAATGAACTTGCTGACGAGTTGGCCCGCTCTGCAGCCTCTACAAACATGGTAGCACCAGAACCGTACGTAGCGGCTGGTCCACATACCTTTAAAGAGCTGCTCCGTAAAGAGGAAAGAGCAGGCAGGGAGAGACATTGACAACATCTCCAAGGCATGCGCCATGCCAAGTTGCTAATGGGGGGTTATAACCTCAGACAGTTTAAAACCGTAATCAATCACCCAAGGAACAAATTCCGACTACTGGTCGCGTTCTACACCGGATATTGCAAGCTCAACAAGCCTTTATTTAACATGGGCTTGGTCTCCTCTACAAACTGCCGGTTCTGCGACATGGAGTCGGAAACCCCAGAACACCTACTAGTGGACTGCACAGCAGTCTGCAGACGTAGAGTTAAGGCCCTGGGATCCATGTTTCCAAACAGGTACCTAGCAGTATATTGGAGTTCATCAATATGCTGGGGCTAGATGAGTCGCTGTGACTTAGGGGAGGGCACAATAGACCATAGGTTGCGGTGCATACCTCAATCATTATCTAGTATAGATATTCATTAATAATCTTGCTTTTACCAATACTTTTGGAGCGATGTCTTTTGAAAAATCAATGCTAAATTTTGTGAAGATACCTTGTCAAATAAAAAGTTTTCCATACAAGGACTTGACATTGATCGGTCAGTGTATATGGCAGCTATAAGCTATAGTTGTCCGATTATATTTATATAATTTATTGAGTTTCCGACGTTTTATTGCTCGTTATAAACATCGTGGCAAACCTAATATTCCCTGTTCAGAATATAAAAAATTTTCATCTTAACTACTTTTTTTTAATACAAGGTGCGTTCCAAAGTAAACAGTACAAAAGTAACAAAGTAAACTCTAGGGGCGCCATCTGTATGTCGACTAGTGCGTCAGAATCTGCTATCCTTTATCGACTTTCAGTAAAAATTTCATGAGATTTCATCTATTGGAAGTGAAGTTATTGCATTATAAGTGTCAGGATGTTTTTGTCATCGGTGCGAAAATGAGCTTCGAACAAAGAGCCAACATTAAATTTTGTTTTAAAATTGGTAAAACTTTTACCGAAACATTTCAATTGATTAAACAAGTTTATGGCGATTATTGCCTATCCCGTAGCAGAGTGCACGAGTGGTTTCAACGTTTTCAAAGTGGTCGTGGGAACATAAATGAGAAATGAGCCGAAACCCAAAAAATCGCGCCTGGGGAAGTCAAAAGTGAAGACAATGCTGATTTGTTTTTATGATTCCAAGGGTATTGTCCACAAAGAATTTGTTCCACCCGGCCAAAACGTTAATGCGATATTCTACCTTGGAGTTTTGAAGCGTTTAGTGCGCCGTATGGTGGTTCTATAAGTAATTTTTCTGATTTAATATCATTTGAATATTTTGCATCTATACACATATATTTCGTAATATTCTCATAAACATATAAATAAAAAAAATTCTTTCATAAAACTTTAGAGGTAACATATTTTAAGTATGGATTAGATTATCTACTAGCCATACATTTTATAAAGTTTTTGAAGAGAATGGGAAGGAAAGGGAACAAATTTTTCGAGTGAGTCAGCGAAGCCGTTTAGAAACTGTTAGCACATAACTTTCATATTCATTTAAATAATAAGTATACTTAGGTCACACACACTATAGAATTTAAACGTATTAACTTTTATTCATTAATAAATATGCAGATATATTTTTAAGGAACTGCCATGTCATTGCTTCCACTTCATGTTGTTGTTGGCCAAGTTCACTTCATATAATTAACTCAAGTTTCTACAGTTTATTTTTCTAATATTTAAATTTTTAATTTTCACTGAATTCATCATAAGGAAAAAAAATTTCATTTTTCAGAGAAGATATTTTCTTTATTACCCTATTTTTTTTTCTAGTACGGCGAAAGCACCACCTACGTCAAATACGGGACAAAAACGAAAAGAAAAGAAACTGCAAAACTCCAATAATGTGACGACTATTGACCATATAATTTCCGAAAGAGTAGAAAAGTTAAAAGGAACTACGATAAACAGTAATAACATAGATAGTAACGTCGGCAATAGTGGAGAACGATAGCGATGTCGCCAATGCACCACACATTAATGATGACGGCGACGTAATTTACGACATACGACTTTTAATTCACCATACGAACGCAGATAAACGAGGTGAACAATAAACAAAAGTTGATTCCATTGGTATTAAGAAAAAACGCACCTTTTTCAACTGCAGCTATATTAGACCCTTTCCATACTGCTGAAAACCACAATTGCAAAGAATTGAAAACATTAATAAAATATACATCTCTAAAAACTTTCAATTAATACAATATATATAATATGCCGCGAGTATCTTATTTTTCAGTAACATTTTTATCTCGATTACCCCAAAATATATTAAAAAAATGTGTAATTTTTAACAGCCCGCTTGGGTAGAAATTATGATTTCCATTTTACGAATGTAACCACGATATGATAGTAGAAATGAAAGGGTCGAACCTGAGTTTCTACCATTACAATTTAGATATGTAGAATACAATTTATACATTTACTACAAGACAAAATATAATCTGCCAATATATTTTTCTTACTTTGAATATTTAAAACGTCTTATAAACTTTTACAACTTTCTACCGCATTAACTTTAACATCACACTTCATCTAATGATAATGAGATACTCAATAATTAAATGAAAAGGATAGCATGTTGTCTGATTAAAATGGAAAAATTGAGATCTCTAAAGCTGCGATTACCGATTCCTGTATCAAATGTATTTCTTAAACGACACTTATTTCCTCAATTTTTTCTTTTATTAATTCATATACGCACCAATTAATTGAGATGAGTTCACGCACTTAATTACAGAAATTTTATTAATTTCTGTATGGAAATGTCAGCGAAAATCACAGAGCAATAAAACACACGAACACACCAATTTAAAGTACGCTATTTGACGTATAAAATTATTAGCACACTACAAATAGTTTTTCACCTTACATACAGAAAGTAATGCGAAACGAGTATATGCATCAACATATTAGCTAACATTGTCTTCCTTCCTTACTAAATATATGTAAGAAGAGTGTAAGTACTGTCAAACAATCAGAAGAATATTACAAAGTATGAAACTACGAAAAGTTGCCACGTTGTGCCTCACCAGTGTCGTAGCAAATGCACAAGTGTGAACGAGAAAACACTATTACTTTCAGGATCGAAAATTGGAATTTTTGTTGAAGCCGCAAAACAGCGTTCTAATATTATATTAACTTCTGTACTTAAAAACAAATTGATATATGTATATAAAAGTCCTTTTAATGTTGCAATTAATATTGATATATGAACTGAGCACCTTTCTAAACGAAGCCGTTAATTTACATTATAATTTATAGGTGAGCAATATGCGAGTCCAGATTTTTCAGAAGTTGGGCAGCACTTATTATTTCATTTTACATTCTTCCCCATATTTTCTCGTAGTATTTTTCGATATTTTCTACCACAAAACGGAAGTTTAATAAAAAAAAAAAAATGTTTCCAAAATCACCTTTTCTACGTAATCCTCTTATGGAGTCACAAATTCTTCAGCGGAATGTAAGTAAACTCTTGTTAATTTTATATATCAATTTTCCGTGAGCACTCGTTTTCAAACAATAATGTTCAAATGTAGTAATATGGTCTACTCATACGCACAAATAATGATGACAGAGACAAATAATTGTATAACAAATTAAAAAATTTGTGGTCGGGTTGCCATTACTATCTTATTTAGCAAACATATAAAGAGTACCCGGTAGTTTTGTATTCTGTAACTTTAAAATATGAGAGATATTCATAAAATGTCTTAGACCTTTATATCTTCAATATATTAATAAACACATTTTATATTCAATAAATAAAATGATTCGAAACCGTCTATGAATCGAAAATTTACATTTTTAGAATTAGATTTTGGTAAACCTTTTGAACTGCTAGATTTTTATAGTATATACAATTCATTGCTTGGAGGGAAATGCCGGAACCTATATTAGTATTTATGGTTATTATATGTACATATGTACATTGTCAAAAGGCTTACCAATTATAAAATGTCAATCATTAGTACCCTTGGACTTTAATAACACAATTTATTTAACAAACAAAAGTCAACGTGACTGAGATCTTAAGGTTATCATAATCCTTAATAGGTATGTACATATATCTCTCTCACATACTGATGTTTGGACTTACTCCACTTACTCTCTTTCTGTTAAATCACTTAATGACACAATGCTAATGTTATTCTCAAAGAAAATATTAATATTAATTTTCCAGCCAATTCAGCTAGAGGAGTTAATGAATTGGTTATGTCGACCACCTACAATAACAACATATCGCGTAAATACGCTCCGAACCACTGTACCAGCATTCAAGCAGAAATTACAAGAAATATTAGATGAAAGATATACACATCCACCCAAATTGTATGAAGTACCTAGTATTCCAGAGGTACTTTGCATTTCACCAACATCGTTTAACGTTGTAGATATGAAGCAGAAGCAGTCAGATTTACAACGTGAGGTTGTAGTTGACAGCTGCTGTGGTGCGGCGCTACTACGCGGCGCTCATATCTACGCACCCGGGGTGCTTGCTATGGAAGCAGGTACAAAATTAAATGAGGAGGTTTTGGTCTACACCGATTTGGCGGGTAAATGTAAGCAGGGTACAAATATTCAATACGATTCGGTCGATAAAATTTTTTTGGGCGTGGGTGTCGTACGAATGCAACGACATCAGATTTTTGGACCTGCAAAAAGTAGTACTGCCGAGCCTTTGAAAGGAGTTGCAGTAGAGATGATTGAAACTATTTCCGGCGTACCTACCATTGGTGATCTGAGCTGCAATGAAGCTCTTCTGCAAAACTTGCCGTCTATTGTATGCGTACGAGTACTGAATCCTCAACCAGGCGAACGTGTGTTGGATATGTGTGCGGCGCCTGGAAATAAAACATCGCATATAGCAGAGGTAATGGGTGATGAAGGCGAAGTAATCGCGCTCGATAAGGTAACTAATAAAATCTCTAGCATGTTGGAAAAAATAACGAGTTTAGCCTTGAAAAGCATAAGCATTTATAATTTCGACGCTACGAAAGCTTTCAACGCAGCTAAGGAAGCAGAAAACAATGAACGTTTGGGCAAGCCACCTTTTGCCGCTAATACGTTTGATAAAATCTTACTTGATGCACCTTGTAGCGCTTTGGGAAATAGACCGTTGCTCGTGTTTCCGCCGAATATGTCACAACGTATGCTGGAATCGTACCCAAAAGTTCAGCGAAAATTATTTTCCGCAGCAGTGCCATTGCTAAAGCCAAACGGTGTTTTGGTTTATAGTACTTGTACAGTGACTGAAGAGGAAAATGAAGGCATGGTTGCTTGGGTACTAGATACATTTCCACAGATGAGTTTGGTCCCTGCAACTCCCCATCTAGGCGACATTGGTCTTGAACAAACCGCTCTTAGCAATGTTGAGAGGTAATCTTAACAATTTACATAATTAAATGATCATGGTATATAAGTTTGCCACAAAGTTTGTAACACCCCGAAGTAAACAATCTGCCCATACATAACTGTTAAACATCTTCATAGATTTAAAAATACAATTTTACAAATTTTATTTAATTTATGCCAACCGTCTCCGCCCCGACATGGAGGTGCAATAAATGTAAGGAATGTCACATAGCTGTTCTTATTTCGTTTTAAAACGAGAACGACAACGGGAAAAGGGCCGATATAAATAAATATTTTAAGCTGACTGTCTGTACATCCGTTTGTCTGTATATACGTGAACTAGACTCTCATTTTTTGAGAAACTGGTATTCTTTCCGAAATTTGGCATTGATAATTGTCCATGACAGTGATATTATATACAAAGAAATTTATTCGGTCGGACTACTATAGCATTTTGTGTGGAATTTTTGTATTTGTGAAGAGTATTATAGCTTCGGTGCAGCCGAAGTTAACGTTTTGTTTTCTTTTATTTTCCAAATAAATTAGATATATATAATCGATTTATTTTATTGACCATTTCAGGCAATACGTACAACGGTTTGGTCAACAAGCAAAAGAAATCGAAGGAGTTCCCTTTGACACCGTCGGATTTTTTATAGCAAAATTTGTGAAGGAATATTGATTGTCATGTGTTTAAAGACTGTAATTTCTTTGAATATTAAGCAGAAATATAAATACTCTGTCCGTACCATAAGTATTTCTTTGACTTTAATTAAATATTAAAATTATGTTATACTTGCTCAAAATTAAGTTCTTTATTTTTAGAGTGTATCGACAGCTTGCGTCTTTTTTTATTATTATACGTATACAACGAATTATTCATCGATAGCTGTGATAATTATTGATACCAATGAATGTTGGATTCCTTACATGCACATCTCAATCGAACCGACGAATGTATTTAAATAATTTACAAAAATTAATCATTATAGGGATGACATTTTGAATAAAATCCATAAAGAAATAAAAATACATTGATGTCTTAAAAAAAAACCTATTAAAGATATAAATATACTAACCTCTTAAAGAAAAAATTATCATAACAAACTTTAAAGTAAACCCGGCTTTGTTATGTGCATGTCTACCGATGTTTTTCATAGGTTGTGTTTATGTTTACCTTAGGTTTGCTAAAGCAGACTGCGGACATGGAACGATGATATCGTTAAACTTCTATAATTTCACAAAATGTGACAAAATGGATATATATATATATATATATCCAAGAGGCTTTTTACCAATGTATGTTATGGCGCAACATATTTAACCCAGTAATACAAAAAATTGTCAAATATCCTATTCAGCTACATGTTTTACGCGGCGATGTTTAATGCTTTAAATTCATCATCATGCATCTCAGTCATCATGTAAGTACCATCTTGCAATAGTAACACTACGCGCCGTGTGCCTCCTATGCAAAAAATATTGAATGCAATGAAATGCTCACGTGTAATGTTTTCAATAGTATTTACCTGGTGAGGGCATACCAGCCTGTATTACTTCAGCGGGTATATTAGCTTCCTGTCCGTCCGCACCGTCAGATGTTTGTATACATAGCTGTCCGGTAGCTCCGCTACCACTAGCGGCAACAGCAACGCCTCCACTACCAACATCTGCTTGCTGTTGTTGTGCCGCAGCTAATGCTTGGTGTTGTTGCAATTCTGCCTCACTCATTGTAACTACCTGTGTAGTGCCATCTTCGTTTGTTGTTTTGACAATATATTGCGGCTCCGACATGGAGTCCGTTTGTTGTATTTCGTTGGGATTCTGCGCAACTGCTTCTGCAACAGCGTTGTCTAGAGTGAGTACTTGATTTTCATCACCATCGGCAGCCGCAACATAGGCAAATTGCTGTTCTCCGTCAGGACCTTGCGTCACGAGAATAGTTTTTCCTTCGGCATTCTTGCCGGCCACTTGATATACTGTGCCGTCTTCACCAGTCACTAATAATGGAGTGCCATCTTCATTAGTAAGCATTTGATCACTTGAAAAAAGCATTCCTGGATCAATATCTTGCAATGCCTGTTGATGATGATCTTGTTGAAGCGTCAATTGATGCTCACCACCCGTTATTAATTGGGTATGCATCACGCCACTTTGATTTTGCTGCTGCTGCGACATCACCTGGTCATCTTGTCCTAATATTTTACCTATAATTAAAATATTTGTTTAGTTGATGGATGGAGAAAGGTGGAGTGCAATTTTTTGCTTACCTGTTATGGGACATAATTGTGCTTGATGTTGCTCCTCGTGCGCATATGTGCCGTCCGGTTGCTTACGTACACTAACGGCGCTCACTTGGCTCGTACGTCCACCACCCGTTGGCGGAGTGATCTGCTGTACTTTCTGAATCTGAATTTGTGATTGTTGTTGTCGAAGGTTCTGGCGTTGTGCAATGGCATCTTCTCTTGTCATCACTTTCTTAGTGACTTTTAAGTCTCCCGACTTGGACAGTTGCAGTATTTTCTGTTCCGGTGTAACAGTTTTCGTGCTACTGGCAGCAGTTGGTCGATTTACGAGTCCGGAACTACCCTGACGCGGTATAATCATACGTCCAGATGTAGGAGAAGCATGTTGTTGAACAGATGAACTGGTGGTGTTGGTTATACCGGTGCGCACATGCATTGGTGTGCTGCCACGTTGTTGTTGTGTTGTACTAGAATTCATAATAGTTTTTCGTTGTAGCGTGGTTCCTCCCGATGTACGTTGTATGTGTTGTTGCCGCGAAATTGTGTTGATTTGAGTATTGCCCACAGTAGTAGTACCGCTAGCTCCTATTCGGATTTGTGTCCGATTCGCTGTTATGGACGATGCTGTTTTAGATTCATTACCGCTATCACTACCACCTCCAACCCGTACTATACCTGTGCTGGATACAGCCGATTCTCCCTTCGAGAGTATACGTATTTGGGCCTCACTTTTTTGTGTTGTCTACAATAATAAAGAAACCGGAATAAATTAATACATGCGAATTTGAAAGTAATGCCGTAAATAGTTTTACTCTATATACTCAAACCTAGTTTAGAATTTTTCTAGATATCTTTCCACTTTAAATCATACTTTTTAACTGTTAACAGAAAGTAATTACAATTTTTGTTTCCAAAACAAATAAAATCAAATTTTAGAATCACTTGTTGAACTATATACTTATTCAACTAAATTAAAGACATATATATTTAATACAATGATCTATATACATCTGCTAGCTAATGAACTTACGTTACGGCTAGTGCCATTGAAACCAGGCTTTTTCACTACACCTGAAGCATTTGCATCTTGTGTTATAATAACTTCAGCGGAATTCGGACCAACTGGTAACGACTCGCCGGTAATTGAGGTTGGTGTACGTGTGCTGCTTGTACCATTCACTTTAACGATTTTAGACTAAGAATTGTAGAAAATATGAAAATTTTTTGTTTCAATGTATAAGTGACAAATTTACCTCAATTGATATAGCATTACCATTCTTCATTCTTTTTACTGTGTGTGATGGAATAAGATCCTCTTCCAAGTCTTCTATTGTTGCTGTTGTGCTAGGCAAATCACTTGCGTTAGAATCATTAAAGTCTGAATCTTCTAGTTTACGCTTCAAGCCACCCACACCGACTGCCGAACTATTACTGGTATTCATAGACCATTCTCTTTCGCCATCCTGAGAGTTATTACAACTTCCGGCGACATCACTTCCATTAGGTGAAGCTGCACCTGAAGGAATTTGGTTACCTCCAGAAACCCACTGTTTCACCTGATCCATGGCTTTGGTTTTAGACGTTCGAGACGGTCTTGTTGATACATCGGCACCTGTTGACCTACTACTTTCTCCATTGTCGTTGTTACTACTACCAACATTTTGTAGTTTTCCTATACCACTTCCATGTTTATTAGAAACACCGGATTCAGTTTTATGAGCATTATCACTTGCAGCAGTTTTACCGGCAGCTGTCAAAGCAGCTTGCTTAGCTTGTAAAGCTGCACGTGTTTCTTTCTGTCGCGCCAATTGTGTTTCAAATGTTTCCAGGAGGTGAGGGACATTTTCTAGGTGCGATGATGGCTCCCAAGTATTTTGTTCATGAGTCCGAGCCTCCCATTTTACTAAATATTCATGCATCTTTCGACGCGGGTTAAAACGTTTTGCCACAATTTTCTCAACGTTTTCCTCAATCACTTCATCAGAGTTTGGAACAGTGCGTTTTGCACGTCGACTATGAAAAATTTAAATGCAATTGTTAAAAAAAAGTTTATGAATATCATCAGTACAAACCTAAGAGGTTTTGTTGTATTTCCAATGGGAACTTTATTTTGCGTAACGCCTCCTACTGCATCACTTCGTATAGTAACTGGTTTCTTGACAATTTTTTGTGCAGTTGTTACTGCTCTATGAATGGAATCATTTTCAATATCTTTATTGCCATCTAGAATTTTCGTTGGAGGTTTCAAATTAGCTACTTGTGGCTTGGTTTGCGTTAAAAGCTCTAAATGAGGTACATCATTTAACTACAATCTTTTAGAGACTAGACAAAATTTACTTACTTCTGCCAGGTGAAACACTTTCACTAGTGTTATTAACGACAGTTTTAGTTATTTTTACTGGCATTTCTTGTAGACCACCTTGACCTACTTTTGCAAAAGATTGTATTGTTTTGCCAGCTACAATCCATGTTTCTCGTAAACTTTCATCCATTTTCACCCATGTTTGATAAAGTGCCCAAGAATTGGGGCTTGCTGTATTTGAATCTTTATTATTATGTAGTTGTGTGGCTTTCCACAGCAAAAACGCCCATATTTTTGGTTTAGTGTCATTACATTCACGCACGTTGGTGTTCTCCTTTTGGCATGGTTTCTGTTTATGATCATCAAAATCTTCAACAAAGTGGTACACATTAAGACAGCGGCCACACACAAGAACATCCATTGTAGCCATTTCCTCTTGCGCCACTAAAAATATATTATTATCGTTATACAAGTCTCAACATAATATAGGCAAAACAAACTTACTTTTAATTAATTTGGCGTGCTTTCCAATTTCCGTAGGTGTGATATCTCTTCCGACCATGGCGAAAATATTATAGTACTTTACCAATGTCTGTAAAGTATGTATTTCAATTTTATATTGATAGATATTTTAAAACGCTTGTCCCTAGTCAGCACACATTTGCGCCAAATATATTACAGTGATCAATAAATTTTTATTAGTTGGGAATTGTTAAAACATATAATTAAAAACTTTATATACTAAGTTTTCTGTTAACATCTGCAAATTTCATTTTAAAACGGTAAAGCAACTTTGTTGGGCTTTTCTCTTTACTTTTTGAAAATTTTCACTTGAATGTACAAGAAATTTTGTATTCAGTTACAAAACTATTCATCAAATTTACGGAAGTCCATAACTATAAACGCTCTTACAAATTTCAAATTAGATATTTTAAGATCACTTCCACTTTTCACTAATTTTTGCTATAAACAATTAAACCTACCGAAATTCGCTATATTGATACTGCTGCTGCGTCCAAACGAAATGTAAAACAAGCAAATGCAAGATTTTCCGTTCGTTTATAAAACGTAGCACTTGCGGCATACGTGATTGACCAATCAAAATGGCGACAGCGGCAGCGCATAGGGTTTTGTGATGAACGGATATTTAATGAAAGTAGCAATACTAAAATTTACTTATATTTTATAAAATATTTTGTAATTGTATTAAAGTTTCGAAAGAGAGATCTATGGTGATAGTAATAAATAATGAATGAGA